ATATACCCACTTGCAACCAATAGCTTTCTTACCCTTAGGTAGATGTGCAAGTGTCCAAGTGTCGTTCTTCTGAAGAGACTGTATCTCCTCCTTCATAGCTTCCCTCCACCTGATGGAATCGGGGCTAGACTCTGTCTCCCTAAATGTGGCTGAAACCATATCATCAATGACATCTACTGATAATGCATATGCGACCATGACATCATTATACCTAGCTGGCTGACGAATCTCTCCTCGGTCTATCTACTGCAATAGACCCCTGAACATGACCCTGTTCCTGAGTCCCATAATCCACTGTATCATCTATCTGCCCGGCTGTCATCTCATCTCCTCCCAGTGTCACCTCTGTAGGAGCCTCAATGGATACAGTGCTCTCTGGAGTGAGTGGAGTCACATCATCCTCCACCTGCTGTGATATCTCTCCTGTCTGGTCTCCCTCCACCTGCTGAGGGGCTCGAGGCCTCATTATGTACGCCTCGTCAAATGTGACATCTCTGCTAATAACTATCTTCTTATCCTGTGGATCCCATAACTTAAAGCCTTTGACTCTATCTCTAAATCCCACAAAGACTGCTTTCCTCGCTCTCGGATTTAATTTACCATCACTGACATGATAATAAGCTGGATACCAGAATATCCGAAGCGACTCATAGTCACTAGCCACCAAACCAAACCAACGCTCCAAATGAGTCTTCATGTCTATCGCAGTGCACGATAACCTGTTCACGAGATGGCTCGCATAAACTAACGCCTCAGCCCAAAAGGATCTAGGCAATCCACTCTGTGTCATCATACACCGCACCTTCTCCAGCAAGGTACGATTCAATCTCTCAGCCACCCCGTTCTGTTGCGGTGTCCCTTGAACTGTGAAGTATCTTCTAATGCCGTGATCCCGGCAAAACTGCAAAAACGGATCACTCTTGTACTCTCCACCGTTATCTAAACGTAGAGTCTTCACCTTTCTACCTGTCCGCAGCTCCACTTTCTTCTTGCACTCCAGAAAAATATCCAGGACCTAATGTTTATGTTTCATAGGGTATACCCAATTCCTTTTGGAATAGTCATTAATAAAAGTGACAAAATAGTTGGCCCCACCAAGAGATGTGTTCTTGGAAGGACCCTAAACATCTGTGTGAATGTAATCCAATGTACCTCGGGTGTTATGAACAGCGGTGCCGAACTTCACTCTAGTCTTCTTCCAAAGTACACAGTGCTCACACAGCTCCATCTTGCAGGTCTTAGCACCTTTCAATAGCCCCTGTTTTTTCAATGACTGTAGGGACTTATCACCTGTGTGTCCAAGTCTCATGTGCCATGAGATGGTAGTGTCCTTCTCTGTAGTGATAGAAGCTGCCAGACCCCCTGTAACTGTCTTGCCTTTCAAGTAGTATAGGTTGTTTTCCCTGACACCTCGCATCACCACCATAGAACCCTTTGTGATCTTCACTGTAGCATCCTCTAAGATCACTCGATATCCAGCTGCCTCCAAAGTCCTAAGAAAAATGATGTTCTTCGTTAACTGCGGTACGAACCTCACTTCCTTCAACTCCCTCACTACACCATCATGCATCCTAATTCGGACTGAACCAATACCACCAATAGGACATACGTGGTCATTATCCATAAGCACGACATCCCCTCTTTCCAGCTCCTCAAAGCTAGAGAACCACTCCCTCTTAGGGAAGATGTGATATGTAGCTCCCGAATCCATCATCCACTCCGTGGAATCCGCATAGCAAACCGACGGTAATGCAGGGCATGAATAGCCTAAAGAATCTGAATGCTCACCAATAGCTTTTGCAACATTCACTTCTGAAGCTTGTGTAGCTTTCCCCTTATTTTTCCCAGCTTTTTATTTCCACTTTAGGCAGTCAATCTTCCAATGTCCTTCTTCTTTACAATACCGACATTGATTTCTACCAACACTCTTATAGGCACTCATATTCCTTAACTTTGAGCGGTTGAACTGGCGACGGTTTGGATCTCGGCCTCGAACTGCTAATGCATCTCCCGATGCCTTCTCGGAGGGTTCACCATCACTCTTCCTTAACTCATAGTTCACCAAAACTGAGGTCACCTCCTTGTAGCTGACTGTAGTTCTTTCATTGATCATAGTGAGAACGAACGTACCATAATCATCTTCGGGTAACGAACACAGAAGTAGCATCGTCTTGTCTTCATCCTCAACTATAATGTCCACATTGGTCATATCTGAAAGTAGCTTAGTGAAGTTGTTGACATGCTCCCTGATGGAAACTCCCCTCTTCATCTTGAACTGGTAAAATCTCTTCTTCAAGTGAAGCCGGTTCTCAATGCTCTTCGTAAGATATTTCTCATTGAGTGTTTTCCACATCTTCTTCGCCGACGTCTCGTTCATAACATCATAAATAAGATCCGGTGTCATACATGACCTAATAACACCACAAGCTTTACTGTTCATCTTCCTCCAAACCTTATCCTCCATATCTGCGGGTTTCTCTTTCAACTCAAGAGTCTTCTCCAAATTCTGTGCATGCAAAGTATCCATCATCTGACACCTCCACAATCCGAAATTGATCTTACCGTTGAACTTCGGAACATCAATCTTCGTGTTATTGATGCTCGCTCAGACTCTGTATCGCCTTTGTAAGAGACGAACCTCATGTGTTTGCTTCTCCCATGTTGTCAATCTAGCTCTGATACCAATTGTTGTGCGCGGCGGAAGCTTCTTGTGCAATACGAACAATAACTCGAGATAAACCACAACCAATAAGCAAAACACAACCACAGCAAGAACAAACGATTTACGTGGTTCGGCAAGTTGCCTACGTCTACGGGGCAGGGGGTTCTTACTATTAGAAATCAGAGAATACAAGTAGAGTTACAAATCTCATCGATCAAACCCTAAAACAAAACTCTAGATCTCTCACAACTCTCCCACAATTGGATGCAATAATCATCTCTCAAAGACTGCTCAAAATCGTCCTTGCTATACCCTAATTAATCAGGTTTAGGGTTATATATCAACTCAGAAACGAACCGGATCAAAAACCAAAAGCCCAGCCCAATACAGTTTGCGGTCGACCGCGGAAGTCGACCGAACCACAAACCCGAGACTTAAATCAATTACAGTCATCCGCGGTCGACTGTGACGGTCGACCGCCATCAGCTTCGAATCCCACTGGCCTTCGTGCATGTTCGCGGTCGACCGCCAGTCTGCCTGGCTGATTCTTCTGCTGTTTCCTGCATTTCTTCATATGACTAATATGTATTCGGATATTTCGGATACAAATATTTCACTACAAAACTATATGCTATCGGTTATAGATTTGAGTGGCCATGTTCGTATCCTAACGGATGCGGTTACAGATATTTCCCTGGATATGGATACGGTTTAGCACCCCTATTCTCAATACTAACAATTACAACAAATAAAATCAATTTAAACTGTATGACCTTGCAAATAATTTGACTAAACTCTAATTCAAGAGAGCATAATATGAACACAGAACTCGACCTGCAGTTGTAATTAGGCAAATCAAATGGATAGTATAACAGAGTTGAAGCTCATGAGAGAAGACTAACTTAACTAAATAAGATTTAGTAAAATATTTTAGCTCTAAATAATTTCATGAAAAGCTAAACAAGCTCTTACCCACACTAATCTCAGCATTACTAGCAGTTTATTAACTTTTGTAATGCGTAAGAGCATCTCCAAGGGGCCGGAAAAATCCAGCACTTTAGCTAAATTTAGAAAGATTTTAGGGATTTGTGCTCCAAGGGATGGGAAAAAGATCCCCTTCACCCCAAGTCTCCTAACTTCCTCTCTAAATTAAGGGGAATGTTAAAGTCCCTTAACCTTCCCCTCTAAATTAAGGGGAATGTTAAAGTCCCTTAACCTTCCCCTTATAATTTTATATTAATATATTTTATCTTGGAGTTAATTTATAGTTAATTAAATTTAGTTAATGTATAGTTAATTTAAAATAATATAATTAAGTTAATGTATAGTTAATTCAAATTGATTAATATTTTTTAAAATGTACCCCCTTATAAATTTTTATTATAATTTTTATTAATATTTTTTATTAATTATAGGTTGTTTTTCTAGTATAGGGTATTTTTCTAGTATAAGCTGTTTTTCTAGTATAGGCTTTTTTTAATTATAGGTTGTCTTTGTAGTATAGGGTGTTTTTCTAGTATAATTAATTATTTGTTAAATTATAATATGATTAATTAATTTAATAAGTATATAAGGTAATTTCTTAAATTAATTAATTAATTAATTATTTTTAGTTATTAATATTTAATTATTTATTCATTTATAAATAAATCACATATTTAATTAAATCCTAATCAATAAAATTAAAACACTTAAATATAAATAATTAAAGGGTAGAATGATTTTTAAGGAGAGCAATTGAAGATTGGAGGTGTACCTTCCGGTCCTTCCCTTCCCTTAAAATTCCAAATTCACTGATACCACTCGTAGAACATGTAGTCATGTATACTCCGGCCGGTAACTGTACCGCACCGAATTACCGACGCTCACTCTCTTATCATTTAGTGGCACTTCCGCAATTTCCCTCTAAAAGCAAGCCCATTTCTACAGAAATCTTCGAGCACGCGGTACGCCCAAGCTTGGCGCTCTTTAGACAAGACAACCGCTCCCCCCCCCCCACCCCTTCTCTTTCCCCACCTGCATCGTTCCAAAATCACAATTCTAGAGAGAGAAAATCAACAGTAGTCTTCACTCTCTGTGTCTATCTCTAACGGACATTTCGATGGGCTCCGTTAACTTCCTAACGGAGAATCTTCCGGTGGTCGGAATCAAGCTCTACTTTCTTATCTCGATCGCCGGCGCCGTTCTGCTCACCGCCATCATCATCGTCATCATCTTCCTCCGATCTCGTAGGGCATGTCAGCAGTCGACGAGAGTGGATCATCTCTCCTCTGGTCTCATCACCAAGGAGATCGTCGAGATCGGCGGAGGG